GCGCCGCGCGCTCGGACGCCCGCCCCCCCCCGACGCGCCGCGCTGCCGGACGTGCCCCCCCCCCCGCGGAATGCCGCGCCGCGCTCCCCCCGCCGCCCCTTACCAGGTGCCGCCCCAAGCATGTGCTTGGGTGCCTGGTGCCTGGAGCCGACCCTGGCCGGGAGTGGTAAGGGCTCCTGCTGCCTGGGGCGGTGAGGGTACCCTACAGCTCCCTGGCTCCGCAGGCAGCAGGGGACCCTGCAGCTCCCAGCCGGCACTGGCTGAAGTCACGGAAGTCTTTGCCGTCCATGACTAAATTGTAGCTTTACATATCATCTGTTGCCAAGCAAGTGAAGGTCTGGTCTTATTGCATCCCTGGAGCAAAGTTCTGTAGCAAGGGTTGGATTCTGTACCAGTGGAACTGGATGATGCAAGTGCTCTGCTCTCAGTAGAGTATGTCTGATGAAAGCATTTACACTGTACACAAATGAATGAAAGTACATTACCTGACTATTTTAAATTAATAAGAATATTTATTATCCAGATCTGTTGTAATAGCTTCATATGAAAAAAATATGCTGTAGTGGTTAAATGCTTTTTCACCTCCAACTTTAGAAGGGTATTTTTTGTTGAGAAAACAACTTTCTCATAGTTAAAATGGGAGTTTAAAAGATTTGTCATAAAGTTTTGATTAATAATCCGTTTACGATTCCAGAGCCATTTAATGGACAGAACAATCCCCTGGTTACATTAAACATGTTGGAGTGTTTGTGCGATATTATTAGTGCTCTAAAAGGGAGAGAGAAAGCCATGATAATGCCTGTTTTTGTAGAAATGGCATTAAGGAATTAATTTAATCTTCAGGAAAACAGTGTGTTTTTTAAAGTCTAGAAAAACAAATAGGCCAACAGATTTATGTTCTTTCTATAGATTTTAAATTCATGTATCTCCTTCATGAAAAAAGGTTTTAATGTACATTCTAATCTTCCGTAACGTATGCCATTTATATCATAACATACATTTAGATATTTCCACTTTCAGGATAATATTAAGATAAGTGCCAATGCTCATTATGTATTTGAAGAGGGAATTAGGACTATTGGATACAGAGCTTATATTGTATGGAGCTGATTTCTGTATTATTCTCACTTTTGAATTGTGTTACATATACATAAATCATATGCACGTAATTCATGAGCACCATGAAAATTTCAAAGAGGGGTACAAAACACAAGTACAGTATGGCTATAACAAACCAAACCAAAACTCGTGTGTGTGCCTATGACTACTGTTGACTGAATTGTTAACAAATTAAATCCATTACATCACGTGAAAATATTTTATCTTTGTTAGGTATATTTTGGGGCATTTTATTAGAAAAAAACACTAAAGAATTTAGTACAGTAGCCATCCTATGGATATATTTCATAATTATTTCACATTCATAAATGGGAAATAGAGGAACAAAAAAGTATATTTTCCTTTTTTCTGTGAATGTATTATGTTAAAGTTAAGAAGAATTTGACATCCATTGAAAGAAGAATATGTCAGATGCCCTTTGATTAAGCTTATAAGTGGTCCAGATCAACTTGTAAGTGACCTTTGCATCATGTTGTCTAGAAATTGCATTGTACTATGACATCTGCATCATGACATAATACAAAATGGAAATACCATGCTTCAGAGACCACTTTAGAGCAGAGAATCCAGATCCATATGTATCTTCGTTTCCCTTTTAATAGTGTACTTCAAAAGAGTATTTAAGACTGTCAGTGATATAGGCCACTGTGCACAACTATATTATACCATTGAGTTATAAAATCTCCTCCTATGAAATTTACAGGGAGAGTGCTTAAAAATCAATGGTGTGATGAGGCCACAGATATTACCAAAACATTTCTAAACACATTAATTTATTGTGCTCTTGACACTATTCTTCCAAGTTTCAGTTGCTGTCTTCTTTTCCATTTTAATAGTTAGAAGAAAGGGGTAACAAGAGTACAGATGCCACAGAGTAGGATCTGTATGCGCTTATATGGCATAGATAGCTAATATTTTTTTTAGAATTGTGCAACTGCCAATCATTGCTCACTACAGTATTGTGGTTTTGGAATTATAGAAGTAATACAATTAAATAGCAATTTAATCTCCAGAATAGTTGTTTGCATTTTCTGTGTATATCTCCACTGCTTTTTGAATGCGTACACAAAATTAACATTTTGCCAGTATTCGCATTGTTAAAAATAATTGTGCATAGTTTGATTGTCAAATGATAGAATCAATCATAATCTCATATACGTGAATACAAATAAAAATAATGAATATCTTTATACAGAACAGAAAATTGTTTACAAGGGTCTAAGAATTTTTTTATATAATATATTTAGATACTTGGATATTTTTACCAGGTCTTATGTATGTAAATTTTTTTTTTCTTTTTTTCAGACAAGTATAAAGGAAGGGCTACTATTGAAGCAAACAAGTTCTTTTCAGAGGTGGAAAAAACGTTATTTCAAACTTCGAGGCCGTACCCTTTACTATGCCAAGGATTCAAAGGTAAGGATGTAAGAGACTGCCTTATGGGAACGAATGCCTTATGCTTGTAGCACCAGTTGTTTCTCAGGTTTATTAAAATTAGAACATTGATTTAAAATAACACTGATTGTTTTCACAACCAATTTGCTATTTATAAAAATTAGTATACAAAATTAACCTGCAAAAGAAGACAGGTTACATAAACCTCTGAGTTTTCGGTATGGTGGTTTGTTTCTGTTCTTTTACCCATTTTAAACAAATTAGTCAAATAATGTTAATAAGCTGATTTCTGTTTTTTCACTTAGGAAAATAAATTTTAAAAAGGAAAAAAGCATTGGAGGGATATTGTTCAAATGTTAAACATCAAAGTTCAAGCTATTATTGTCTGAAGGGCAATTTCCTGAAAGATACTTAAATGATTATGCTAAAATAGTGCTAGTCAGGAGTTATCCCTTGAAATGAATTTTCAATGGAAAATTAAGTTCTGAAAAACTGAAATTTTCAGTAGGAAAATTTCATTTTCAGAAATTACTCTCCTTTCTGTTAGGGAAAATCTAAATGAAATATTTCATTTCAGGTCAGTTTGGTCCAAATGGAAATGTTTGTTTGTTGAACTGAACTGAAACATTTAATTTCAAGTCAGTTTATCATTAAGCTGCTTCTGCGTGAGCCGCCATGGTGCCTTCTGGGTGTGGTAGTTCAGGTGCTTCAGGCCCTCATTTGCTCCTATTGATTGGCCTCCTTGACCCCACTACATTTCCCATGATGCACTACAATCTCCTCTGCGACTGAGCTGCATGGGGTATCAAAGGAGTCACGTAGGTAAGAATGAGGGCATGAGTCACCCAAGCTAGGCACAGTTGTACAGTCGCTGCCCTGAAGAACTGACAACCTTAATTAACAAGACAGACAAGGGGTGGGGAAATGGCAGGATCATTCACATATTACAGATGGGAAGCTGAGGCAGATCTGGGAATTAAATCCAGATCCCCTGCCATCCCAGTCATACCTGCCTCAACTGCAGGACCATCCTTAGTTTAGATTCCCTGCCATGAGTTGAATGTGTGTGTGGCGGGGGGAGAAGGGGAACTTTCTTTTTTACTCTCTTTTGCCCACAGCACAGGAAGGGAGGAGAGACACATGACTGGAATTGTTTTACTGGTCATCAGTGAGCCTCAGTAAGCCAGCAGAACCCATAACCCTTTCCCAGCAGACTTAACGCTGGCTAATAGGCTGTGATGTTTAAAGTAGACTCTGCCAGATTGTTATATGTATCTGTTTTCTTTGACTCTATTATGGCATGCTTAAGTGGCACTCCAAGGCTGAATATAATATTGTAAATTTTCTCAAAGGTGTTTTTGAAATGAAGATTACTTTTTTGACTGGGATAAAATTCATTTTCAGCCCGCTTATGTTTTTGAATTTTCCTACTGATCAGATTGTTACATGGCTCCCTCTGAAAGGTGAAATTAGAAAGGTTTATCTGCTTAGTAAATTTTCTACTTTTTTCATTTGATTCCTAAAACAATAAGGTGGAAGTGAAAGTGCAGTAGGGTAAGTGTGCTTAAAAGTGGTATTTAATGTGTTTGTGTTATTTTCCGTTCACAGTCTCTAATATTTGATGAAGTTGACCTGTCAGATGCCAGTGTAGCTGAATCGAGCACAAAAAACGTCAACAACAGCTTCACGGTATGGTGCCTTTATCATAACTGTAGCCTTGAAAGCTATAAAAAGACTGTAACTAAGACCATCAAGAATGCTCTCAATAAAGTTATTTCTCATTTTCCTTTATATGGAAGTGTATTAATGAAATAGCCTGTAGTGTCATGACAACATTATATTAACTGTTGATAATTCTGAATCCAGTTTCATGCACATCTTTTATCAGCTTTTAGTATATTTAATATTTGTTTCATAAAATGCTGATACAGAACATTAAAAAAATAGTGACAGTGAATATCAACTGTCCTTATTTTCAATCATCTTTATTTTATGCTGTAGTTTATCTTTTAATGTGTTATATTGTTTTAAGTTAAATTTCCTGGATGATTATCACTAAGTGTGATTTTAATTCCCTATTCTTAAATTGATAATTCTGATCCTCAACTGTATTAAATAATTGGGTTTTTTGCTAACCATATTATTCTTAGTTGGTTTCAACCTCGCTGTCTTTGTAGTTATACCTTATTTATACAGTGGCATATGAGTGAGGGCATTACAAGTTTATATAAATCCATATAGTAGTTTTACACAAAAACCTAGAATGTTGTCTTCTTTTCACGCTTCTAAGGGAAGGCTGAATGTTTTGTAATTGTTTTAAATTATTTCATTATGGGAAATAAGTGATAAAGATCAGTCTGTTGTGTCTCCTTCCCCCCTCCCCACCAAAAGTGGTGAGGTTTTGTGAACATTCTTAACTCTCATGGAAAGGTGTTTTAAAGCCAAGGACTAGCTGCCAAGAAGACTCTGGGTGAAATCCTGCTCCATGAAATCAATGCAAATTCTACCATTGACTTCAGTGGTACTAGGATTTCATCATCTTATCTGCAACTCCCACCACTCTCAATCTAACTATTAATATTTCCATTTTTCCTGAGGATTTTAGCTGTCCCAGGTAATCTTGGTCACGTAGTAAGAGTCAATTTCTGAGGAGGTCCCGTGCCTGCCTGATGAAAGCTTTGCTGATGAAGATTCCAGAGGCTCACTCATTCTGGTGTTCGATGAGTAGCTAATGTGATCAGAGGAAGCGTGCTTTTATCAGCCTAGGTTGGAGGTCAGGTTGTTGCACTGACTAAAGTTTCTTTAGCATTTATAATTCCTTCCCAGATACAGTGATCGTCAATAACAAAGTCTCGAGGAGCAAATCCACATCTGGCAAGATAGTATGAGATCTTTTGGCTAGGGGAAGGTAGAAAAAGGCCGGGTTTTTTTTTTTTAGCGCTTTTGCTGTTTGGGTATCTGTTGTCAGTGAAGAGTCCAGAAAGCCCTCTTGGCTGCATGCCACTCTGATGACAGTGGGGCAGATGCCCTCTATGAGGGTGATGGAATGTTAGCTATTTTTTCATAGTGGTTTTCATTACCTATTTGAAATTCTACTTCCATCTTGCCTGGTTTTAGCTTTAGACAAGAACTATTTATCATTCCAGTATTGGGATAGCTGAGGAATGATGAAGAAGTGTAGTCTACCTGTGTGAACAGAGGTTCAAAGTTTCTTTGGCTATCTTTCATCAGTAGAGGAAAGGCCTGGGTGTGTGTCTCAGTTACTGGCCCAAATTTCTTTCAGTGTATCTAAGAATTCCTATGAGACGAATAGAGAGGGTTGGTTTTTTGGGTTTTTTGTTTTTGAAAAAAGGATGTAATACTGGTTTTTCTGTTCTTGGTCTTCATATCTTGAACTCTAGAGAGTCCATCTTTGATGTGAGTTGTCTTCTATGTGCTTTTCTTTTGGATTTCCTTACAGAGGTTGGTGCTGGATTCTGGAATAGGTTGGAGAATTCTGAAGGATATTTTGTTTTTTTACTTCATTTTTCACAGCTTTTTTGAGAACCATGGAGATTAGCGAAGAAGGTACTGGGGAAGATGTCTTTGGAGCCATAGTGTTGACAGCTGTGGATAGTGTATTATTTTCATATCTTACTAGGTTTTCCAGCCTGGGCAGAGCATTCTCTAAGAAGTTTTATTTAATTTATTTATTTAAATTATATCTTGGTCTGTAATTCTTCCGGAGTGGACTATATACTGGCCCTTGCCATTTGTTACCAGCTCTCATCTCATCTTGGTCTTTTGTCTTCTCCCCTTGAGTTTGTGTGACATAGTCTGACAGCAACAAAGCTCAGTGGGATAGTACATCTCTGTCCTTACCCCTTGACCAATACTGAGGGTAGAGGTTCCAGAAACTCTGCCTTTCAGCACTTCTCCTTGGGGAGTACTGAGAGTTCTCTTTTCTCTTCTTTCTTTAAGAAATACACCTCTACCTCGATATAACGCTGTCCTCGGGAACCAAAAAATCTTACTGCGTTATAGGTGAAACCACGTTATATCAAACTTGCTTTGATCCGCCGGAGTGCGCAGTCCCCCCCCCTCCCCTCCGGAGCACTGCTTTACTGCAAAAAGAACAGGAGTACTTGTGGCACCTTAGAGACTAACAAATTTATTAGAGCATAAGCTTTCGTGGGCTACAGCTCACTTCTTCGGATGCATATACAGATTCAGATGCGGATACAGACTAACACGGCTGCTACTCTGAAACCTGCTTTACTGCGTTATATCCAAATTCATGTTATATCGGATCGCGTTATATCGGGGTAGAGGTGTAATGTATCCCAAACCAGTTTCATTATCTGCTTCTTTGGGTTATCTTCAGCTTTCCCCTGTAAGCATTTTGTTTATTAAAAATCTGTCAAGAAATAAATAGATGATGTGGTTAGCATACTGTTGATTCTCCGTCCTAATGTGTGACACCCATTATTAACGTAGGTTTATTTTGGATGGAATAACCTCCGTCCTAATGGGTGTCACTGTGCTGCTGTCCAGTAATGATTGGGATGGGGTAACTCTTTCTTGCCTCTTGGGAGAGGGAAATACACCTTCATGAATATTTAGTAGTTTCACTGAAATAGTAATTTGGTTTTATTTTTTTTTAAATCCATTCTTATTTTAAATTTCAGACTTGCCATTTCACTTTAAAAAAATCAGCTTTCCATGGAAAGCTTTATATTCTCTCCCCTTCACCCCTTCTAGTCTTACATCTTTTTGGAGATAGAAAGGTGCATGTTGAGATTTTTAATACACTGTAAGCACTATCCTTGGGAAGAACCCACATCCTAAAATTAGACACAACACAGCATTAAGGTTGGATTTATCTGAAATGTGCATATATTGCACATTTGTCGAATATTTTATGTGACTAAATGTTATGCTTATTCACCAGAAATACTTTCTCACCGAAATGAAGTGGGAGGAAAGGGAAGAGATTTGAAGGAAAATAAAATAAAATAAAAAGAAGCCAGCTAATAAAGCATGTAACATAACATCTATTTCAGTTTGTTCTTCATAATTATTTCTACCCATGAATATCTCAACCCCCAGACAAACCTCCTTACTGACAAATAGTGTCTAGTGGACAGGTTTGTACTGATGAGCAGTGTAGACTGCTTTTTCAGTCTCTGAGGACCTGATGCAAAATCCACTGAAGTAATGGAAAGTATTCCTAGTGACTTCAGCAGGGTTTGAATCAGGTCCTAAGTGCCTATGTTGCTCCCTAAGTAGTCTGCTAAGCTTGTTTGAGTCCCCTCCCTGCAACACAGTGTACAACCTCTGCCTCAGTGAGCTGTTTAGAAATGTGGGTGTCTTATACTCAGCAATTCAATAGCAATATTAGATTTCTACTTTGGAATACTACTTATTGTAGAGAATCTCTGCGCCTATCTACACTGAGAGTACGTCTATACTTACCTCCGGGTTCAGCGGTAAGCAATCGATCTTCTGGGATCGATTTATCGCGTCTTGTCTAGACACGATAAATCGATCCCGAAGTGCTCGCCGTCAACACCGGTACTCCTGCTCTGTGAGAGGAGTATGCGGAGTTGACGGGGGAGCCTGCCTGCCGCGTGTGGACCCGCAGTAAGTACCTTGCAGTTCGAACTAAGATACTTCGACTTCAGCTACGTTATTCACGTAGCTGAAGTTGCGCATCTTAGTTCAAACTGGGGGGTTAGTGTGGACCAGCCCTGAGAGTATAACTGTGTCAGTACATGGCTGTCTGATAAAATAAGAAACACCCATATTTTAGTACCATTTTCTGTTTTTAGTGTGCATGGAACAGTGTGGTTCTATAGCCATTTTAGGGACTGGTCTTACAGCCTAGTTCATAATCATAACATAATATGGTCCTGTTCCTCAGCTCCATTCTATACTTGTGTTATCCTGTTCTACAAACAAAAAACAGTCACAATGTGGATATCCATAATTGTGCTGACATGGTTTGATAGTAGGGTAATGCACAAGCAAGCTGGACTTGTTTCTCCATCGCCCTGCACAGTGTGTAGTCATTTGTGCCAGAGCAAACTGTGTGCAAAACAATGTTTCACACCTGCTTTGAACTGGTCTAAATGCCTACATGAGATGCAGGGCAAAAGAAAACTAGTCCTGTTGGACTTAAAGGACATATCAAATATTAAATAATCAAAGGGGGAAAGGTGGGGTTGAGAAACATCTCTTTGGACATTTTAAAATTTAAAAAATATTTTCAGGGCTTCCATTTTCCTGGTCCATCTGTCTAATGTTAGTAAAGGTAATGAAAGGAAGTGCAGGAACCCCCCCTCTCCCCACCCTGGTGGAATGGAACACCCATTAAGGCATTACCAAAAGTCTGGAAATGCCTTTATTGGGTAAAGAGGCATCTCTAGTTGTCATTTCAATACAAGCTGAGGAATGTAAAAGCACAAGCTGTTCCTTTTGTGGGGAGGGCATTAGGGTGAATCAGACTCCTATACTCATAGCCAAACTGGAGATGGAACAGTGTCCAATTTCGCCTTTCTTTCCTTTGTATCCTACCTCTACTTGGATTTTTGAACAGGGAGAAATGAAGGTGCCTCACTCATATCATACCTTTATTCAGGAAAATTACTTTATTATTGTGCAAATGACTCTTAATTCTGTTAGATATGGAGGAGTTTTTCCAAGATGTG